TCTTTTTTAAAAAACCATAAAACCAAGCATGAGCACCCATAAACTTTTTGTAGACTGTATAAATGGAAACCAGGAACCCAGAAGCGTCTCTGCTGCGCATATTAATAAAATGCACAAGTATAAAACCAGGCTGACTGGTCTTCCCCTGAGCACCCACTTTGGGCTTACTAGAAGCTCCATTCTTTGGCACTGTCTCTAGTTCCAACTCTTCGTCACTGTGCACATGGACCCACAAAAGTGCCCCCCTGATCACCTGTTTTTGCTGTCCACCCAGCACTGCCTCTGCGGCTCACTTCAGCCTTTGTCTCCCGTTTGGACTTTGCTGTGCTCTCTCTGCTCCTCCTCTTTCCTGTCTCTACTCCAAACTCATCCATTGCTGTGCACAAAACCCAGATCTGATTAAGTCTTTCTTGGCTTTAAGCTTCCCATCTCTCCTGCTGAGCTTGGCGTACAGTGTGAATGGCAGGTGCGGCTCTTTGTACTTTGGGTCCAACCTGTGCTTTAGCAACGTGCTCCTATGACACCGTGCACAGGCTCTCTTTCCGTTCCTGCCTAACAGATGCTCAGCAAACGTGCTGGCACGTGCCGCCGCAGGCTTCTCTCTTCTTTGTGTGACTTTCCTGCCATTTTCAGCTGCAGAACTCCACCCAGGCTCAAAAGTTCCAGAAGTCTCCACGGACTACACTTCCTACTGTCTCCTTCTGCCCTCACAAGGGCACAGCAAGTTGCAAACAGAAGGAAAGTGAAGCAACTGAGGCAGAGTCTTGAAGGTTCCAAGGGGGAAAGCCTTTCTGAGATGTGATTTTTGCAGTCTGGAGAGATGGTTCTGCTGTTAAGAGGGCGTAGTCTCCTACAGAGTTTCTTAGCACAGAGCAGCTCTTAGCACCCACCTTGGGCATCTCACAGCTCCTATGCCTCTTCTGGCCTCCCTGGGCATCTGCACTCAGATGCACAGCCCCCCACACAGACATGCATACACATACATGTAATTAAAAATAAAAATTAAAAATAAATTGTTTTGCAGATGCCTCAAGCTCATAGAATCGTTTCATAGAGCATAGAGACATACCCACAGAAAGAAAAAGAAAGCAATTTCACACATCTGGAAAAGACTTGGGTCAGCAGAAAACCAGCCACCAGTTGACAGTAGGTGCCTTGGAGGTCTGGCAGGAAGCACAATCGGGAGACTGGATGTCTCCAGAAGCATCTGAGTCCCACCACTGCTGGCTGCTACTTGGCTTCTGAGCCTGAGCAGAACGACAGTCACTTTGACAGAGGTGCAGGCAGCCAGGCATGGGACCAGCTCATGGCCTTGGCCATAGTCAATGAAGCTGTGTGATTGGGTTCTGAGTCTGTCACCTGAAAGGACAGGAGCAGCTCCAGCAGGGCCACCGCCCTTTCTGGCCAGGACATCCAGGCATTTTCTGCATAAAGAAAAGTCTCAAATTCAAATCACACTGGTGACGAGAGGATAATGCCACACAGTAGAGACTAGGATGAACTGGCTGCCAGTGGTCACATTCAGATTCTTCCAGAGGCATGTGATGCTGGGACTGTGCTAGGAAATCTTCTGTTAAAATGGTCGTTCAAGTTTTAAAAACATCATATGGTACAAAGGATGCAAGGCTGCCAATGTGTGATCTCCAACACACAGACAGAAACTGAGCTTACTCATTTAGAGCAAACACAGCCCTTGCATTTGCATCACTCCATCTCTTTAGCTGATAATTGATAGTGTTCCATTTAGTTGGACTTTCTTACTATGCAGGCACTTGGCCCTGTGGAAAATGGGCTTCAATATGCAATAATTTTCACAGATATTATTCTGCATATTACCTCTACTATGTTTTTATGTGAGATAGCATCAATAGAATACTAATCATAATAGTTATGATTTTAAAAATATTTTGGCTTATTTTGTGTGTGCGTGTGTGTGTGTGTGTGCGTGTGTGTGTGTGTGTGTGTGTGTGTGTGTGTGTGTGTGTGTGTGTGTGTGTGTGTTTATCTGTGTGGATATGTATATGTGAGTACAGGTATCCACAGAAGCCACAAGCCTGGAACTTGAGTTAGAGATGGTTGTGGACCCTCAATGTGGGACAGTAGCACAAGCTCTTAACCACTGAGCCATCTCTCCAGCACGATGGTTTCCATTTATAAGAATAGGAAGAATTCTTAGGTATCAACTGGTTGGGCTCCCCTCTACAATTTTACAGTCCAATTTTGAGGCTCAAAGAGGAGACAAGCTAGTTAAGAACCAGAGGACAATTTAGAATCTCCTTCAGCACTTAGTACATGTTTATAGATCATGCAAAGCCTGTATGTTTGTCTTTTCCCTGCTCCTTAAGCAAAAGCCCACCGGGTGGCCAGATGTACTGAGCTCCAGGGAGCCTGAGGAAGTAGTTTACAGGGATGAGAAGCAGGCCCTGGCTGGATGGCAATCTGACCTCACATCAGCCTCGCCTTTCCACCCACGGGAGATAAGAGACCAGCGCCAAGGAAGCTGACTCATGGTCACGAGCAGCAGGAGCCCTGTCCTTATCCCTCTTTCATCTGTGGGTTTTGGCCTTCCTTTCCCTCTCAGGCCTGTGCAAAGCCACCAGACTCCTCTTCCTTGCTTAAGGGAGAAACATCTCCATATGGTAAATTCTAACTTTATCTAGCCCCCTTCTACTTCTTGGGAACCCCTTCCCTACTTTTTTGAAAGAAAGTGCCTGGACCGTGGCCCTTGTCCTTCATGCCCATCTGTCAGAACTTCACATCTCTGGAGACCTGGGGGGGAGGGAGCATGCCCAACTCAAAGGCCTGAGGCTCCAATGGCAGGACCACAGGCTTTTTGTCTGGGGGTTGGATTCCTACTAAGTGTCAGATGACATCTCTTGAGGGATCTCTTACTTAGGCTTCTGGTATGGTTATCCTGAAGCTGCCTGTGTCTTGTTTGTCCCACATGTCCCCCTAATTTTCATGTGGGCACAGATCTTGCCTACACAGCCTTCATTTCTATTTTTGAAACTATACAAACATACAAGGTGTAATGGCTCAGGCTTTTAACCCAACACTCGGGAAGCAGAGGCAGGCAGATCTCTGTGAGATCGAGGCCAATCTGCTCTACATAGTGAGTTACAGGGAGACCCTGTCTCAAAAAGACAACATATATTATTCTACCTGTATATATATACATATATTATTATAATAGATACATACATACACATAGGCTGGTCATGGTGGTGCATGCCTTTAATCCCAGCGCTCAAGAGGCAGAGGCAGATGGATCCCTGTGAGACAGTGGCCAGTCTGGTCTACACACTGAGAGTTCTAGTCTCAGGCACACACACACACACACACACACACACACACACACACACACACAGACACACCCAGACACATACATACACACACAGACACACACATACACAGACGCACACACACACACACACACACACTTGTTTATGTGCATATGTGCAGACATGAGAGACAGGGGAGCAGGAGCAGGAGGCAGGAAGTGGATGTGGAAGAAGGAAGTATGTGCACTGTTTCCAAAGCCTTCCAACAACTGAGCACCTGATGAAGGAGGTTTCAGTGTCCTTACTTTCCAGATGAGGACACTGAGGCCCCTCTCCATCACTTGCTTTCATTTTCTCCATTTCCCACCATGCCTTTCTTGCATCAATGCCACCTTCATTCACAGAGCTGGTTTTGCTCCAACTTCACCAGGCTTCATAGTGCGGGAGTACATGTGGGACCACAGGTGCTCAGTCTAGCCCATCATAGGACTCCACACAGAGGCGTTTGTGCCTGGGTGTTCATCTGGCCTTGGAAGCTCGTGGGCAGTCACAAGATATTACAAAATGCTCCTTGGCAGACCAGATGGGCCCACAGTCTAGATACCTTGTGACTGGGACAAGAGCTCAAGTTCTGCTGTCCGTGAAAACAGAAGGCTTACTGTTGGCTGTGTCACTTTAAGCTATAGGGCAACTTCTTTATACCTGTCAAATGGGACCACATTCACCACTACAGATACTACCAGCCTAAGGCTGAGATGAGCTGGAATAATAGTGTCCAAAGACAGAGATTAAAATTATGCATAGTCAAGGCATTAAATAGCACTGACCCACACAATAAAAATGTCATGTGCATCTTTTAAACCTGTGGATTTCCCTGATCATACAAAGAAAGTCTCCACCCAAGGTTAGTATGCCTTAAAAATCTAATACTGCCAATTAATTTTGTTATTCTTCATGTATGTATTAATTTATTTTTATTTTATGTGTATGACTGTTTTGCCTGCATGTATGTAAATGCACTCAAAATGCACTTAATTTTGTTATTCTTCATGTATGTATTAATTTTTATTTTATGTGTATGAGTGTTTTGCCTGCATGTATGTAAATGCACTTTGTACATGTATGTACAAAGCCTGCAGAGGCCAGCAGAAGGTATCAGATCCCCTGGAACTGGATTTATGAACTGTTGCTAAGTTAGCAACCATGTGATTGCTGGGAATGGAACCTAGATCCTCTGGAAGAGCAGCCAGCGCTCTTAATCATTGAGCCATCTCTCCAGCCCCTATTCTTCATGTTTTAACAAAGAGAGAGAAGCTTTCAGACTCAGAGGCTACTAAAGGCAGTAATAGCAATATTTTCTTTTCTTTCTTTTTTCTTTTTTTTTGGTCTTTTAGAGACAGGGTCTCCCTGTAGCCCCAGCTGTCCTGGAACTCACTATGTAAACCAGACTGGCCTTGAACTCACAGAGATCTGCCTGTCTCTGCCTCCCGAGTGCTGGGATTAAAAGCGTGCACCACCACGCCCAGCAATATTTTCTTTTTATTGGAGTAATTTTATAGTTACTGGTTGTCTACATATAGTAATGATATAAAATTTTTGCTTTGTCAGTATATGGATTTAAGTTCTAAGTATGGGTCCATTTAAAGGGGAATAAGCACTAAGCAGATAACAGTACCATTCAAATATGGTTCAGATTATGAGGGGACTCTTGAGAGGTGGCGGTTTCATAATGATAGAGATGACCATAGCAAGAGATTGGACAGTCTCTTCTCTGGGTTTTAAAAGAGAGATTCTTTACCCTTCCATGCTAGCCTCTTGAAGTGCTGTGTCACCCTTGAAAGGGAACTTAAAGGGCATCACTTGACTTTATAAAAGTCTCAGTTCTTTGCCTTCAAAATGCTGTTTTCACTGGGTGTGACAGCACAGGCCTTTATTCTCAACACTCGAGAAGCAGAGGTATGCAGATCTCCATGAGATCAAGGCCAGCCTGGTCTACACAGCAAACTCCAGGTTAGTTGGGGCTACAAAGAGACCATCTCAGAAAAAAGGCTGAAAACAAACAAAATGCTCTTCTTGATGTGCTAACTTTACAGAGTCTGGTAAATTTGGTGGGATCATAGAGACATCTCATAAAATGTGGCAAAGTGACCCGGAAACACACTTCCACATCCACGGACAAGACACGTCACGACGACTCACACAGCAAGTTTCCCTATTGCATCAAGGGGAAAGTCTGAATTTGGTGCCACTATGATGTAATCACTTCTTTAACATTGCCAAATAGATCTTTAATTAAGTAGAACAAGACCTTAAGTTCTTGGCAGGCAGCAAGGTTCAACTGGAAGATTTAAAGAAGGATGCTAGCCCTGCAAACAAACAGGGCTGCAAGGCAGTGCATGTGAATAGAGCAGACCTGGAAAGGCATATCTCACATCAAGATGGGCAATTCCCTAGAACCAAGGTCCGCTGAGACCTGGAGACCCTTTTCCAGAATAACATGGAAGGTGAAAAGTGATTTAGAAATACCTGTAGTGTTCCCATGGATTTTACAAAATTGAGATAAAAAATACGTGACAGGCCGGGCGTGGTGGCGCACGCCTTTAATCCTAGCACTCGGGAGGCAGAGGCAGGTGGATCTCTGTGAGTTCAAGTTCAGCCTGGTCTATATAGTGAGTTCCAGGGGAGCTGGGGCTACAGGGAGACCCTGTCTCAAAAAGACCAAAAAAAAAAAAAAAAAAAGACATAAAATTTACATTCTTTTTTCTTCTTTTTAAAGATAGAATCTCATTATGTAGCCTAGGTTGGCCTCAAACCCATAATTCAACTTCCCAAGTGCTGGGGTTATAGGCATGTGCCAACTGTGGTCAGCTCAGTTTTTAGCCATTTTTCAAGTGCATAGTTGAATGACGTAAGTACATTCACATAGTTATCCAGCTGTAGCCTCCATCTGTCGCCAGAACATTTTTTTATTTCCCCAAACTAAAATGCTGTCCCCATTGAAATAACTCATGGCCAGGCATGGTGGTACACCCCTTTATGCCAACACTGGGGAAGCTGAGTCTAGAGGATCAAAAGTTCTAAGCTAGCCTGAGTCATATAACATGATTCTGACTTTAAAACAAAAGGACACCTCTCTACTCCTTCCTCCCTCTCCCTGGCTCCATTTTTCTTCTCAGTGTCTGGCCTCTGAGTGCTACATGTACCTGACATAGGTGGAATCACACAGCAGTGCCCTTTAATATCTGGCTTATTCTGCTTAGCATGAAGTCTTCAAGGATCATTACAAGATAACGTGTTCAAGTGCATAAGAGACAGGATTATAAAACAAATAACATAAGTTATGTACATAATTTTTAATATATGTTTTTATTGAATGTGCATTTTATACAATACATCAGAATCATGTTTAGAGCCCCTCCCCGGTCTGCACCCTCCATAGCCCCCACAGCAGATTTTATGTATTCTATCATATATGTTAAGGCCTATCCAGTCAGGTTTGTGTCCCCAGATGTCCCTTGGTGTGAGTTCATCCATTGGACCTTGGTCAGTCTATTTAGCATCACCCCCTTAAAGAAGACCAACTCTCCCTCACACAGCAGTAATCAGCTATCAATAATTTTTAAAATTGGTATAGCATCCTATGTGTTTTTATTAAATAGCAAGGCAGAGAGGTGGACCCAATAATCATTATAATTTCTGTATAGTAATGAGTCTGTTTCAAGAAAACTGGAATGTGATTTCCATTGATAACAAAGACATAATATTTGCATGTACTACTGGTAAACTTGTCTTGTGTTAGAATTAAAGGAAATATTGACTTTTAGCTGTAATTCACAAAAAAATGAAAAAACTGATCCTGCTCCACAGATCCAGAGCTAAGGACCTCCAGCCTAAAGCAAGGGCATTTCTGTCTTTCCAGATTGTTTCATTCTTGATGCAGAGGTGAGACGAAGGCCAGATTCTCCCAGCTTCCAGTAGCCCCATTAGCAATGGCAGTAGCCTGGTTTGGGGACCTCAAACAACCTTCATTAGGCCACTAGGCACTGAGTTGGGACAGCAGCCTGGAGAGGGTGTTACTGAACTACAGGACTGGCCCCTTTCACTCTGAAAGCAATTCCAGCTCCTCCATTGGGCCTCCTAGCTCATTTGTATTGTTGTGCAACAACACACTCAAATGCAATTACAGGGGCAGCACGAGCCCGGGCGACCCTCTGCAGGAGGAGGTGGTGGCATTCCAACTGCTTTGCCCTACTCATAGTAGTTCCTTAATTTTTCTCATTTACAAACAGGCTTGGGATGGCCAACCTTTAATTAAGACTCAGTTTGCTTTTCAAAAGCAGTGCATTCTAATCAATACCATCTGGTGCTGCAGAAATTATAACTACAGCTGCAAAACCAGGAGACTTGCAGCTGGCTAACCATAAAGGCCTTCGGGAAGGGAATGGTTTCCATGTGCTGGGGAGAGTCGGGCATGACCAGCTTCAAAGTCAAGCCGTAGTGCCAAGGCCCTGGCTTTTGCCTTTTTGCGGAGGGTGGACAGGAAGAGACAAAAAAACAAGGCAGGATGTTGCCTCTGTCCTGAGGTTCCATCACTTTAGAACGGAGGGTATGTGTAGAAGGATTTGGAATATAGCTCAGATCATAGGCTTTGAAAAGGAAGCTCTTAGAAAACAGTGTTTCAGGGACTGGAGATATAACTCAGTGGTTAAGAACACTGGCTGTTGTTGCAGAAGACCCGGGTTTGAATCCCAGCACCCACATGGCAGCTAACAACTATCTGTAACCCCAGTTCAGGAGATCCAGCACCTTCTTCTGTCCTCCATGGGCATTGCATGACATGGGTACACTTACACACATGCAGGCAATACACACATACACATAAAATAAAAGACAGTAAAATAATTTTAAAAAAGAAAGCAGTGTTTCTATGGATTGAAATGCCTTGCTACTTGAAATGTCTTATTATTCCTATAACACCCCCAGGACTCCCCACTCAGGGTTGCCAGATAAAATATAGCATGCCCAGTTGTCTTAGAAGTTTTGATAAATTTTAATACAGTGGATACATTTTAATATAAGTATGTCCCAAGAAATATGCTAAACTATTCAAATGCATTGTTTATATGAAGCTCAAATTCAAATGAATCTTTTATATTCTTTTTAAAAATTATTTTGTTATTTTTATGTGTATGAGTATGTTGCCTGCATGTACATAAGTGCACCCATGTTGTGCAATGCCCATGGAGGCCAGAAGACGATGTAGAATTCCCCTAGAACTAGAGTTATGAGCAGTTGTTAGCTGCCAAGTGGGTATTGGGAATCAAACCCAGATCCTCTGCAAGAGCAGCCAGAGCTCTTAACTGCTGTGCAGTCTCTCCAGGCCCTGGATGTCTTTGTTTACTAAATCTGGAACCCCTCCCTCTTCTCAAACAAGATTCTGGAATCTTGCCTACATATCTTTGTAGAGAAATGCTAGGTCAGTATGGGACATACTGAGGTCAGCTTAGAGACATCTCTACAGTGAGTTGAGATGTATGAACCTAGAGTCTTAAAGACCTAACTGGCTTCCAACCAGACCTACTATTTTCTGGTAGGGTGACTTTGAGAAAGTTACTTGACTTCCAGAGTCTTAACTCCATCTAGTGCAGAATAGAGTGACTGAAAATCATACCTGACACTGTCACATCCCATAGCATTACCTGTGCCAGCCACTTAAAAATTTGAGGATTTCCCAGGCCAGTTAGTCATCGTTTCTCAGGCACCAGTCCAGCTAGTCATACTAGGTCCTCCCTCCCTTCTAGACCCTCCGCTTCTGCTACCCAGTGATGAACACCCAGCACAACCAAGGGTACGTAGACCCTGACCAGTGCTTTCTTCAGTGTCCTTCTGGTTGTCTAGTGTTTGAGGTTTAGTGGTAATTGAATAAATTCAGCTTCCCTCCTGCTTAGGAATGCCCACTTTAGAAGGTGACTGTAAGATTTAAGTGGGAAGATGTGGAAACCAGGCATAACAGTGCAAGATTGTCATCCCAGCTCCTTGGGAGGCTGAAGCAGGAAGAGAACAAATTCAAGGCTTTCCTTGGCTATAGACTGGGTTCCAGACCAGCCAAAGCAACCAAGTGAGACTTTATCTCAAAATTGTAAAACGTAAAAAAGAGGAGTCAGTGTGGTGACACATGTCTTTAATCTCAGCATCCCTTGCAAGGCAGAGGCAGGCAGATCTCTGTGAGATAGAGGGCAATCTGGTCTACAAACAAGTTCCAGGCCAGCTAGAACTATAGGGAGATCTTGCCTAAGAAAAAAAAGAGGACTGGTAATATAGCTTAGTGGCAGAATCCTTGCCTGGCATGCATGAGGCCCTATGTTCAATCTCAGTATTGGGGTGAGGGAGGGAGGGAGGGAGGGAGGGAAAGAAACTATGGGATATATAAGACCTGGCCCATGTATCAATCTTTCTCTTTCTTTCTTTCTTCTTTCTTTCTTTTCTTCCTTCCTTCCTTCCTTTCTTTATTTCTCTCTCTTCTCTCTCTCTCTCTCTCTCATACCAACTGACTGACTGAATGAATCCATATGCTGTATACAAGAAAGAACTTTGTAAACAATCTTTATACATGGCAAAAATGTCTATATACTACTGTCTCTGTAGGTTACAAGGTTACAACCTGGTACAGGCTTCAAGAAATCTTAAAGATCATTCTGGTTCTAGCCCATTTCCTACTTTACATAAAAGAAAACTGAATTATGGCATAATTCACTGAATTCTCTAAACTAGGCTACCTTCTGTATTGAGATTTGAGGGATTGCTGGAAAGATCTTTTGCTCAAAAACATCTTTTCATCCAACTACC